CTTTTTTTAACTAGCATTTATTGTTCCATCTATAAAATGAGTAACTGACAAATAAATATTCTCAAATTGTATAATTTTTAATTACTATTATTGTATCTTAAATTTTGTTTTGCATTTTTTTTACTTTTTTTTTTGCATCTATGAGTTAGTTTTTATAACCACTTCCTGCAAATAACAGGAAAAATAAGTTTTATTCCTATTTATCAGATGAAGAAACTGACATATAAAGAAGGCTATATAGCTAGTAGATCTGGGATCAAAATGACATCTCATTAGCATTAGCCTCTCTCAGTTAGGTTCCCTTAGGGTGCTAGGTATTGAATTATGTGGAAATAACATTAACTACTTTCATACATTGCATTCCTATCTTGTTAGATCCAAAATGGTGGTAGGAATAAAACTTAATACTTAAGAATAACAGTATTTGTATGTTAGAAATATGGTGAATTTATTGGCTTTTTTGACCAAATATATTTGGTATTAAACAAATGACAGTCAAGTATCTGATTTATTCCTGTGTCAGCATTACTGAAAGAAAAATTTTTATTTAAATTAACATGTTTCAGTTTATTTAAATTGAACATCACTCATAAAATACTCCCTGAGAAACAATAAAAGTGTCTTAGTTTGGATTGCGATAACTAAATATCAGAGACTTGGGAGCTTAAACAACAGAAATTTATTTGCTCACAGTTCTGGCAACTGGAAGTCTGAGATCAGAGTGCCAGGATGGCGAGGGCTCTTTTCATGACTTGCAGAAGGCCACCATCTCACCGTGTGATCACGTGACTTTGTGTGTGTGCAGAGAGAAAGAGAGCTAGAGTGCATTCTCTGGTGTCTGTTATTATAAGGACACTAATCCCATCATAACGGCCCCACTCTCGTGACCTCTTCTAACCCAAATTACTTTCCAGAGGTCCCATCTCTAACTGTCATCACATTGGGGATTAGGACTGCAACAGATATATTTGAGGGAGCACTCATAGTTTGTAACAAAAAGAGTTTTGCAGTCAAATACATTTTAAAATGTTACATTTTGTATTCCATTTGTTAAAACATTGTTCATTAAAAACACATGAAGTGTTCTATGGTAAAGAAATTTCTTCGCCTTTGTTTAAACTGGAGTTTCCAATATTTTTTAATCATGATTTTTTTTTAACCTAAAACACTTATTAACTTATTAAGGAACTGTATTTCAATGTAGTATGCTTTTAGAAATGCCATCTTAGGTGTACTTATAACAATTTAGGAATGATTTTTTTTTTAATGTAAATGCTGGTGAAGATGTGGAAAAAGGGGAACCTTTCTACACTGTTGTTGGGACTGTAAATTAGTGCAGCCATTAGAGAAAACAGTGTGAAGTTCCCTCAAACAACTACAGATAGAACTGCCATACCACCCAGCAATCCCATTGCTGTGTATACCCAAAGGAATGGAAATCAGCACGTCAATAAGATACCTACACTCCCATGTTTATTGCAGCTCTATTTACGACAGCCAAGAGTTGGAAGCAATCTAAGCATCCATTGACAGATGACTGGATAAGGAAAATGTGGTATATGCACTCAATGGAATACTACTCTCCCATTTTAAAAAAAAAATGAGATTCTGCCATTCACAGCAACATGGGTGAACTTAGAGAAAATTGCATTAAGTGAAATAAGCCAGGCACAGAAGAAGTACCGCATGTGCTCACTCATAAGTGGGAGCTAAAGTAAAGAAAGAAAAGAAAGAAGGAAGGAAGAAGGGAGAGAGAAAGAAACAATCACAATAATACGTTAAACTTTCAAAAAGAAATTAAAAAGAGAGAACTGTGGTTATTAGAGGTGGGGGAGGGGGAGGGGGTTGGCAAGAAACTAGTTAAGGGTCACAAAAATTATGTTTTGTAAGCATGAGTATACTAATTTTCCTGACTTGATCACCAAATATTGTACACATGTATTGATATTTGATTCTGTACCCAAAATATATATATATAATCAATTTAAAAAATAAAAAAGTAAAAAAATAAATATAATAGGGTATTTGAAAATTATAACTTGCTAAATAAAACGTTATGATCTAAGCTCTCCAACCACCTCATTGTGACACTTATCAAATATAATGTACAGATATATTGCCTAATAAATAGCAGCCTTCCAGATAGGACATTATTATACCTTGCTTTGCTTCCTAAGAGGAGCAGTGGCAATTAATGTGAGTAAATTGCAATTAGGGTGAAATTTCATGAATCATTCGAAGTTTCATTGTATTTTAATTTTATGTTCTGTATCTAAAATATTTTGTTAATATATGGAAAGTAAATAGTTATAATGAAGAAGGGCAGGAAATAGTTCCTTTAGGAGTATAGAGACATAAATATTTGTGACATAATGTCTGGTTCTTTAACAGTTACATGTTTACATATCCTATAAAAATTTAAAGGTGACTATCCTAAAATATACTTTTATAACTTTTAATTTTGTTACTCAGTATTGGCTTTCTCTCCATTATTGTCACGAGATCATTTTGGTGAGTTGGGATTTCTATTTTTTAAAAGTTTTCTTTGTTCTTTGCTTTTTTGTTTTTTAGTGATTACCTTTTAACTGTCTGGGGTTTAAATCTCTAGAGATGGGAAGAAAGATTTTTAATAAATTTTTTTTCCTTTTAGGTTGTTTCTGCTTTTAATTTTTTTTGCAGTTCAGATTTTTATGTTTTTGGTTCATCACTCTTTTAAAAATGCTGTGGTTCCCATCAAACTTGTTCCAGACTTATATTTCCTAAAACCTGGAGATAAACCTCATAAATACAAGACAAGTCTGCTTCTTCAAAATTCTACTGGTGAGAGTGTGTGAAGGTCTGTGAATGTGTGTTGGGAGGGGAATGGGATCAAGGAGTAGAGACAGATCAGAGATTTGGATTTTAGAAATGTATTTAAGGTAAAGGCATGGTTTGTCTGCACAAAATCTAAGTTAAGTGAAATACTTTATAGATGCTGAATAATACAGAAATGAAATTTTGATTTAAATGTAAATGGCAGTCTTAAAAACATTCTAGTTTATACTGCTTATAATCATAAAATTCCTTTTTTTAAATAGTAGCAACATTATTCTTAGTAGCATGCTTTATCTCATAGTTCATGATGAACTTCAGAAGTTGAAAAACCCTCTTTAGAAAGTAATACAGTATATAATATTTATCCAGATATATATCTACATAGAAATGTTTAATCTTTCAAGGACTATCTGAAGAATTAGTTATAGTAAAGAATTTACAATAAAACAAGAGCTTTAGCTTCATGTGCTTAATCTTGCTGAAATACATTAGAAAGTTGCATTTTATATAACCTTTTCTATAATCACAAACTCTTTGGGGTTTAACATTTCCTAACACTTCCCCCGTATTCTAGTATCTCTCCTTTTTGATTGACTACTAACTAAGGAACTTTGCCCAGTGTTAAAGTAATAAGCATTATATAAAGTACATTAAAGTCATCACTGTTAAAATCTGGTGTTAAAATCTTAATATATTATATAACCTCATCCTTTTGGGGGAAGATACGTTTAAGTAGAACATTACTCTCGAATAGGAAATATTATGTTTTGCAATTTTTTTCTTTGATTAAGAATTTTTGCTTTTAGATTTAATGTACATTTGATGTTTCTAAAATATAGTACTGCATTGAACCTTATATATGGTGATAATTGTGACTTTTTTATGTGTTTGAAGAATTATACATGTATCTCAAAACTATGTTCTAAGTTCATTTTCCTTGATCTGCAGAAATTCTAGTATTTTCAACGTTTGTTGCTTCCATTATTTTTTAGTATTCTTAAGAGTTGCTTGTTTATGTATCCCATATTTTCCTAGGCCCTGTTGCTGGTCCAAAGTAAAACTTTAGGAGTCACTGGCCTCTGTGTGTATATAGTAGGTGGTATCTTACCCTCCTTGCAAAACTTTTTGTATCATAGGCAGTACAGTTCCTTCAGTTATATAGCTCTCCTCTCAGAGTATATAACCACTCTTGCAAACTAAAGATGAGAGATCAGT